CTGGTTTCTCCCTCCCCCTACCACTTCAGATTTGGTCCCAGTATGTCATGTTTTCAGAGAGCAATTCTGCTGATGGATAGACAGAGTCCTGACCCTGTTTAGATAATTCCTTTCTAAAATACTGCTGGATTGGAAAGGACTTTTGATTTTTTTTTTTAATAAAATGTGGCTGGTATATATTAATGTGAAAGAAAAGTCACATCCTATAGATGTTAATGTAAGTCATATTCTTCCCCACCATGGATTTTGGGGAGAAGCAGAAATACACTGGACTAGTGTGCACCCCATTCAAAATCCTGTGAGAGTGGCATATACATTTGCAATTCCAAGCAATCTCCATTAAATAGTTACTCCTTATAAGAATTAGCTTTACTTGTACTCCACATTCAAATAGTCATATCACAATTTTGGCTTAAACAATAGTGAGACCATGTTAATTCACCTCAGATGTACAGTACTTAAAAGCAAGAAAGCCATGGTTTGAGGAAAAGAAGTCATAAGCACATTGTCCCAGGAAATCTGCACCAAACTCAAGGTAATGAAGCAAAGCCATAACAATATGAAAAGTACTGTACTAGATAGATAGATAGATAGATAGATAGATAGATAGATAGATAGATAGATAGATAGATAGATTTCTTTTTACCTTCATAGTCTTCCAATATATGGACCACATCCCCAATCTGTAGTGATATCTGGGGCACTTGTGTAGCTTTGAAATTGTATATTGCTGTGAAAATACAGAATAAAATGTCATGAATTCAAACAAGTTTATATTTTAAATGGATTACTTTCAAATGGTAGTATTCCATTTAATACTATGAAAAAGAGCTTGAATAAGCCACAGGCTTGCTTGCACCCTCTCCTCTCTTCTCTGAATTAACTGTAAGAAAGAGCTTGCAAGAGCTCACTTCTGTTTCCAAACCCCTTAGTTGTTTTATCCAACTGAAAATGATGATTAGTGTTAACTAATCACTTTGGGGAGGAGTAGACAAACTGCATCTGGTATAAGCCACTTAGAATTCTCCAAGGTCTCGCCTTCAGATTGAGCAACCGCTCAATAACTTTTAAATGCACTTTTTCCCTAATGCTTGAATAGGACAATGAGTAATCCTTCAGCCATCTCTCAAAAGCAACAAAAAGTTTGGCACTGCATCCTTTGGAGATGTCATTGTTTCACTAGCCACATTCTCCACAGGACAAATCATCAACATCATCATCATCATCATCATCATCA